GTCCAGCTCTGCCTCTCCAGGCAGCTGAGCTTGTAATTGTCCTCCCTGCCCCCTTTCCCACTTCCACAGTGTGGGATCCGGAGCCTGCTTGAGTTTGGGGCTGTGGACCCATGGGTCTGTTTCCATTGTGTGAGGGCATCTTTGGGGACAACCAGATTGCCAGGAAAGGGTCCTAGGTAAGTGGTGCTGCAGCATTCTGCAGAACATTACTCAGACCACGAGTCCTGCTCTTCCCCCAGGCTTCCTCCCAGCTGAGGGTGAGGCCTTTTCTCCTCCCTCTTCCTGCCCCTCACCTTTTTGAATTCTGGGAGTATAAATTCCACGAATCCTTGAGTTTTTCAGATAGAATCAGCAGTGCCTGAAACCCAGCTGGCTGCTTACACATATCCTCACACTTGGCTACTGACAGAGGGGCTCCTGGTCTGCACTCCGGAAAGACAAGAGCACAGTCAGGTAAAGCTGGGCTGGTATTACCACCACCTAGGGCAGGGATGGGGTAGCCCAAGCCTAGGCTGCCTCACTGCCACACGCTGGGGTTTATGATGGCTGGAATCACCCACCTTTGCTCCTTTCCATGTTTCTTATGTTTTTTCCTGGCTATAGGTCTGCAGCTCAGTCTTTTTTTCTTCTATGATTTTCATAACAAAGCTCTTGGGGCTGTTTGAGCCCTTAGGACCACCCAGGTCAGCCCTTCACTTTACCACAATGTAGATGGAGGCCAGAGAGGAGAAGAGACATGTCCAAGATCACACAGCTTCTGTTGATATCTCCTTGGTCTTGCTCTTTTCTGACTTTCAGTGTTTCTCACTATTCCACATCTCTTTTTTTTTTTTGAGTTGGAGTCTTACTCTGTTGCCCAGACTGGAGTGCAGTGACATGCTCCTGGGCACCACAGCCTCCACCTGCTGGGCTCCGGTGATCCTTCTTCTTCAGCCTTCCAAGTAGCTGGAACTACAGGTGCTCGCTACCAGGCCTGGCTAATTTTTTTTTTTTTTTAAATTGTAGAGACGTCTTGCCAAGTTGCCAGGGTGGGTTTCGAACCCGCCGGCTCAGGCAATCCATTCGCCTTGGCCTCGCAAAGTGCTGGGATTACCGGCTGAGCCACCGAGCCCGGCCTATTCCACATCTCTTGTTCTCTCTCTCCTAATCTTGTTTTATTCCCTTTTCCTTTTCCCTTTTCTTCTCTCTTTGAGAATAAGATGAGATTAGGTGAGGGGTTTTTCTTTTGGCTTCCCCACTCCCAAATGTGGGCATCTGAATTGACCAGCATGGAAAGGGGTACCAGAGCTGGCGGTGCCAGGCCCAGCCCCCCTCCCCACCCTCCCTCCCCCTTAACTAAGTTCACATGGCCTATGGCCAACTCTGCTCAAGCTGGCCCAGCTCACTGCTCCAGAGCAGAGTGAGAGTGAGGGGGAAGGGTGAGCTAGAGGCCGTGCAAGTTGCTTGCTCTGTCTCTCTGCTCTAGTCCCCCTCCCCAAGAAAAGAGGGACTTTGCCTGGGAAGGGGAAGCAAGAGAGATAAATGAGGTCTGACATCATTTCTGCAGGTTGTTTCCTGCAACGGGCCAGAGCTGCTTTACCTTACAATAGGTCAGCTTTCCTGCAAATCACCTTGAGTCAAGTTCAGACAAGCAGAGCTTGGTGAGAACTGCTTAAGGCCAGAAAGGGAACAACCACAGACTTGCAGAGATGGGAACACTTCTCAGAGGTGCTGTAACTCTGGACTTCCAGCAGGGGGTGTCCTGTCCCGCCAAAAGGCGAGTCTTCTTTTTCACCGCTGCCCTCCAAGCCAAGGAGACTGGCTTCCCCTCACCCCAGAAAGGGGTTAATCTGTTCTCTCTCCTGGTGGGAGAGAAGTCCCCCGGGAGGGCATAACAGTGCTCAGAATCTGGTGTCCTGTTTAGGGAAGATAGGCCAATGAAGAGCGGAAAACCCTCATCTCCTCACATGTGAGACTGTAAATATGACCTTGCAGAAGAGAGAGAGAGTGTGTGAGAGCTAGTGAGAGCAAGCAGAGTGAAAGCAGCTGGGAGAAAAAAATGGAGGAGGTCTAGCACCTGCAAAAAGTGTGTTTGGAAATATGATATCATATTTGGAAAGAGATATAAATTGGAAACCAAAGCTTCCCTCCCAAAGCCTAGCATTTGGTCACCTTCATTTTGACACTCAGCACAGATTGATATTTAATCTAAAATTTCTCCACAATTCCTGAGCAGCACCCATTCACTTATAATTTACAGATACCAACCCCTAACTCAAGGGAACTGGGTTATGCAAGGGTTGCTAAGGAACGAGGGGAGATGCAGTAGGTAAGGCGGGGGTTGCTTAGTAACCAGGAGTCCCTCAGTGATTCAGTGGCCAGAGCAGGTCTGGAACTGATGAGGGTCTATAGACAGAGTCATCCCACACCAGAGCCTCCTGAAAGTTCAAGGCTGTCAGCCCCTTGGCCCAGAGCTGCCAGAGCCTGCCTCCTTTCACCTTCTTGGCACTGTCCTGCACGAAAAGCACACCCCCAAGGCCCCGAGTGCCCTTGCTAACTCCTTGTTCCAACCACTCCCTCCCACCTCCCTCAGTAAGAAGCAGAACAGATTCCTAGATTAGAGGAGGGGGTGACAAGCCAATGGGACTCTCATACTGGAGGAGGCAGGAGCCTCTGGGCTAATGTTGTGGAACTGGGAAATGTGGAGTGTGGGTGGAAAAGCACCCCCTAGACAAGTATCCCTGGCATTTTCCAGTTCACGGTAAAATATCTTTGTACCTGAGTCTCAAAGGCCAGATTCCCCACTCTGCTTTCACACTTGTGCATAGCTAGAGGGGAACATCCTTCCCTTCCAAGGGGCCTCCTGAGGAAATGGGTCTCCATGCTGCAGCCTGGCTAGACTGCTCTGACTGGCCTGGCTCCGTATTCCTCTCTTTAGAGAGCTTCACATCAGCTTGGGCTTGATAGAGCCATCCAGAGTCACAGTCTGCTTTCTCAGGCACGAGTCCCCTGTTCTCTATATTCCAGGCACATTAGATGTCCCTGTTTTCTCCCCAACACCCTGGATATGCACACCCTCTATTCCTCCTCTCAGTCTGTCCACCTACACAGGAGCCTCCCTCCTGCTGCTGCTCCTGCCAAAATCCTCCTCAACTTTTCAGGTCCAATTTATCTGCAACGTTCCCAGCCAAATCAACATCCTTGCTGAACACCCCCTGTATCTTAGGCCCTGAGCAGGGCACATGATCCTGGCGGCCTCCTCATTGCTGATTCTCTGCTTCCTGGTTAAGACGCTCCCTGGAAACACTTTGTGAACTAAATGTTTGTCGTTGGAAAGCTTGTTGTTTAAAGCAAAGCCCTTTTATAGACATATAACTTAAATAAATGTATGTTTTTCTAATTTTTATAATTGCAACCCAGGAGTATAGGTTCAAGGTGCTCTGAATATATACTCCCACAAAACCCTTTGCACAAAACATCTCTGAGAAAGTATTTGAGACACTGGAAAATTTACTTCTGAGAAGGGAATTGGGGAATTTTAGGTTGTTAACTAGTTTAGATCTGCTTGAATTTTAAAATTTACCATGAGCTGGTACTCTTTACTTTTAAACTTTTTTGTTGTAAAATATAATAATACATAAAAGTGCACATATACACACAAGATCTATCTAGCTAGCTAATCTATCATCTATCTTCATAGACACCATGAAGCTTGCTCATAAAATACAACATTTCCAGCACCCCAGAAGCTCTTTGTTTTGCCCTTCCCTAATCATAACCCCCCCCACCCTTTTACCCCAGAAATACTCTCCTGACTTTTGTGGTAATCACTGTCTTACATTTCTCTGTAGTTTTATCACTTGTTTGCATTCTTAAACAACATAGAGTTGTTCTGACTATTTTGAACCTTGTGGAATCAATAATACATATGGTTTTGTGTCTGGCTTCTTTCACTCAAAAATATATTTTTAAGATTCACTTATGTTGTTCAGTGTAGCTTCAGTTCATTAATTTTCACTACTGCATAGTAATAAATGCATCCGTTCCACCATTAATGGGCATGTGGACATGTCTCCAGTTTGAAACATTCTATGACAAGGAATGCTGCTGTGACTGCATGTCCAGACTCCTGGTGCACACACAACTTCCCTTCTGTAGGGTCAGAGGTCTGTGTTTTCAATGTCTGCACACCATACCAAACCATTTTCCAAAGTGATTATACTTACCCTCTATCCAGCAGTGAACGAGAACTTCTGTTGATTTTACCTTTTCAACCAGAAACAGTTAATTCATTCTTTTTTTTTTTTTTTTTAGTCGAGATCTCACTCTGTTGCCTAGACTGGAGTGCAGTGTCACAATCACAGCTCACCACAGCCTTGACCTCCTGGGCTCAGGCAATCCTCCCACCTCAGCCTCCCGAGTAGCTGGGACTACAGGCATGCACCCCTATGCCCAGCTAATTTTTATTTTTATTTTTGTAGAGATGAGGTCTCGCTAGTCTCAAGGCCAGGCTGGTCTTGAACAACTGGGCTCAAGCAATCCTCTCATCTTGGCTTCCCAAAATGCTGGGATTACAGACATGAGCCACCACGCCCGGCATGTTGATTAAAACTAATAACGGGTGCAGTTACTTGCTGGTGCCTGGAATCCTCACTTGATGGGGAAGCTCCATGGTTGGTGTCCAGGTCTGAGTCTGGTTCACCAGGGTGTCCTGGCATCTCTTGCCCAGTGTCTGACACAATGCAAGTGCTCAGTGCTTGCTTATGGCATGAGTGGAAAACCAATTCTTGTTTACTGAATGTTGTGTCTCACATTCTAATTTGTGAGTAATTCCCCCAATTTATAACTAGAGAATTTTCATGGATTGGTTTCCTGACCTGAGGCTCATGTGTTTGAAATTCACCCTTACCAGTCTGATTCGGCCATTCACTGTCTTGTCTGTCTGGGGTCAGGGGTGGGGTGTAGATTACCTCTGTGCTCACTAAGAGCATCAGTGATAAGTGAAATTGATTCTTCCCCCAGGGCTGATTCAGCAGGAAGCAGCCCAGGCAACAACCACCATGCTTCGAGCAGTGACTTGGGTTCACCGAGGCCTATTTCATTTCTGCACTGGGGTTTCTGTGAGGATGACCAGCAGTGGGATAGATCAGAACGGTGTCTTGGCCAACCGGGTAGCTGTGGTCACCGGTTCCACCAACGGGTGAGTGTCCTGATTGCCTCTGGATCCTGACCCTTTCCAGGGACCCTGCCTTCCTTAAGGACTCAGGGTGGTAGAACAGGACCCAGCCTTCTTTGTTGATTTCTAAGGCTGCTTAGAGGAAGAACAGTGGGAAGGGGCTATGGCTGACAGGTACTCTCCATCTGTGCCCGCAGGATTGGCCTGGCTATCGCCCGGCGTCTGGCCCAGGACGGGGCCCACGTGATCATCAGCAGCCGGAAGCAGCAGAACGTAGACCGGGCTGTGGCAGCACTGCAGGGGGAAGGGCTGAGTGTGACGGGCACTGTGTGCCACGTGGGGAAGGCCGACGATCGGGAGCGGCTGGTGGCCAAGGTGGGGAACCAGGGAGTGAAAAGACACAGAGAGAACACAAGGAACCCTTCCTTCACTGCTCAGCCTTGGGTGGGGGGGCAGGGACAGGTTTGGGGCTTGGGGTCTAGCACAGGACTGAGTCCATGACTTCTCACAGGCTGACTGAGTAGACCTCACTGCTGGCAAGGGTCCTCTGGAAATTGGCCAGTTCGTGCAATGATCCTCTCACTCAACCCCAAACCCTGGTGGAGGAGGAGCCTAACGGGATGGAAGAAGCCTCCCAGAGGAATTCCTGGAGAAGACCTCCCTCCTCCAAGGCCGGGCGCCTGTCCTGGGCCATCCATGTTGCCTTCCTTCATGAGAGTTTGGTTTTCACTGGAGCCTTGTAACCAACCATTCCTGGTTGAGGTGGCATGTGATCAGCAAGCTTTGCCCGCTTGTCCAACATAACTGGGCTGCTCTGGGAGGGTGAGGCCTCCTTAAGCCATCTCCACACTTACCTAAGCCTCTATCCCACAGGCCCTGGAACACCGTGGGGTCATTGATTTCCTGGTATGCAACGCAGGAGTCAACCCTTTGGTGGGGAGCACACTGGGGGCCAGTGAGCAGGTCTGGGACAAGGTAAGATACCGCCCCTATAGAAGTGGGTGAGCACCTTGTGCCAGCTCTGAGTTGGGCTCTAGCATGCCTGCTCCACCAAGACTCTCTTCTCCCCTCCGAACGACACTGGAAAAGCAGGGCCTTTGTGGTAAGCCTGACCGCCTGTGCCCCAGAATGTGCCCGGATGCTACCCTCTGGTCTGTTGGTTTTAAAATCTAGCTCCTACGTTTTCTGCTTTCTTTCCTCTTCCCGTCTCTTTTGTAATTATTCATTTGGCAAATATTTATTGCTGTGTGCCAGGCCCTGTTCACGGCTCTGGGGATACCGTGAACATGTATAGTAAGAGTCTCTCTGTAAGAGTCATGGATTTATATTTTTTACATCCTTTTGTGGCGTATATTGGTAGTTGTGCTCCTCTTTGGTGATCTATAACTGCTGCTGAAACTCTCTGCCTCTCCTAGATGGCGGTTTCTCACTGTCCCACAGATGAACCTGCTGTCAGGGTCAGATCCAGCCATCAGCATTTCATGGGCGCAGACGTTGCAGCCCACAACAAGTTCACTTAACAATTCTGCCACCTTGTCCACAAGGGTCCAGGACAGACCTTGTAAAATGCCCTGAAGTCCATTTTAGCTTTGTTGTTCTCTTGTGACTCCTGTTCCACTCGATCCAGGTTTTCTTTTCTATTCTCTCCAACAGGATGCAGGAGATCCAGTCTTGTTCTTTCTGCCACTGTTAGCATTCTTCCCCTGCGCCAGTGTTAGTGTGTTCTGTTCTGTCCTCCCCAGCTCCTGAGCTCTCGTTTGCTGACATCACCTTCAGGCTGGCCCCTCCTTTCTGTCTGCCCTTGGCTGGGTGCCCTTCCCTCCATCCTCTGAGATGATCTGAAATCTGAGCTCCCTGAAGCCACCGCTGAGCAGCCTCCCAGGCTCTTTAGCTGCTCTTAATGCCTCCAAAGGATCATTTGTGATTTTATAGCTGGGATTTTATTGCCGGTAAAACTCTCCTAACTCTCCTGAGTCATTTTCCTTTTTAGTGTCTCAGTTCATGGGATCATGACTCTTTTTCTCGGAACTGTTTGAAATCTTCCCTCCTGGAGTGGAGGGTACATGCCGGCAATCTGACCTTTCCCTCTCTGGCGCTCTCCTGTTCTCCAAGGACTTGGCATTTGGTGAGCAATGCTGGACCACTGGACAGAAATCATTGATGACTTGTCCCCCGGTCACGTCTGCCACCACCTCGGAGGGGAAATTGTCACAAAATGAGTTTAGAATTTACCAGATGTTCTGCTTTTAGCAGAATGCAATTTTTAGTAGGTGTCCTGTGAGGGGAATTTCTTACTACTTATCTTATTCTTGGGCAGTTTTGAGGGCCTTCCTTAAGTAGACCCCCATTCTCTCCAGCTGGCTGGAAAACCTCTCATCTACACAACTCCCCCTTCCTTCTCCCTACTCAAGGACTCTCCATCATGCACCCTCTTTCAGGTTCATGAATAGTTCTTGGCCTACAGAGCTGTTCCCCCCACTTTTCTAATGGGCGCTTTTCTTCAGCAAGGGTAGGAGTCTCACCTTTTCCTTGGTTCGGGGTTGATCCCTGTGTCTAGGAGGGGTCTTGTCTCCATCTATAACTCAGTCTGACAAACATGAAGCTCCAAACAGACATCCTGTGGTCTGGGGGCCGGGGAGTTGGGGGGTTGTTGTTGTTGTTGGTGGTGGTTCTATTTTGACCAGGGAGCTCTTAGGGCTAGCCTAACCCTCAGTTCCTTCCTACTAAGGATCTCATGGTGGTCCCCCTTCTGACATCTGAGCCACTTCTTGCAGTCATGGGTTCATCCCCCATACTGGTAAGCTCTCATCAAAAGGGCTGCAGCAACACTCAGTTGAAGCATTTCCTTTGCTCTCAACCAAGGGCTTGAGTGGGTGTGGGATGAAGAAGTGGGGAAAACAATGGACAGTCTGGGTCAGTTACAGATGTGCTGCTTCACTCTCTGAAGATGCAGGACACAGCTGACCTCAATCAAGACAGATCCCCGCAGGAGGGTCCCCTGATGCCACTTTAGTCCCATCTGGCCCTCTGTCCTAGTTTCTGGGTTCTGCATCTTTCCCTTCCAGTTTCTCTCTTACTTCTCCCCTGTTTCCAGACCCACTAGACAGAGTTCCCAGACAGAGTTCCAGGACCTGAGTGACTGAGCCCAGACTTCAGTTGCAGGCAGAACCAACCTAGGCACCTAGCTCCCAGAATAGCAGTTCTCTGTTGTGTCTGTCTCTTTGTACTGGCCGCAGGAAAGCTGAGTCAAATCTGCAATAAGCTGGCATCTGTGTGTCGGCCCTCCCAGCCTGTACTTTTGTGAACAAATAATAGAATAATGCTCAGTCCTTACTAGGTGCTGTGAACTGTGGGCCCCAACCTCACTCTTGCTTTTTCTTATTTTCCTACATTTTTTTTCCTGTTTCCATTTCCTCACACATAATGCCTATTTGATTTGTTTTATCCTGTTGCATTGTGAGTATGCCTTAAATTCTACTGGGACAAGGCAAGAACACAAACAAATGGAATCACAGAGTGACAAAGATGACTCTTCCGGAAATTTCCCCTGCTCCCAGTTCCTGCTTCCCCTCCATCAGTCTGCCTTCAGTCTGTTTTCAGAGGTCTCTGCTTACAGCTTCTTTCTGCACAAGCAGAACACGGTCCAGTTTCTTTAGAAGGCCTGGACATTTCCTTCCTTCTTACCCATTCTGAACAATTCGCATTTTCAGGGCTCTGCTCAGGCCTGTGTCTTAGCTGTCTACCTATGAAACCATTAGGAAGTTGGAAACACCTCTTGTCCCAGTCAGGAAGGGGATTAGTCTCTCACATCTGCACACATTTGGGTCTGCTGCACAAATCATAGGGCTCCAAATGTCTTATGAGACCAGGTCCTGGGCTAACCATGTCTCTCTGCCCTCCCTCGTGCCTCCACTCTGATTTCAGATCCTGAGTGTGAACGTGAAGTCCCCAGCCCTGCTGTTGAGCCGGCTGCTGCCCTATATGGAGAAGAGGTGCTGTAGGCCTGGGGTGGGCACCAGTGGGAAGTGGGGAGACTGACATGGCAGGAGTAGAGTTGGCACAGGTTGGAGAGGGTGGAGAACAGAAGAGGTCTCTTTGGAATCTCCACGTTCCCCCATCGCACTGTCCTGCCTCACCCTCCATGTGGCTGCTGCCTCTAATCCCCGTGGCTACAGGATGAGGGCGATATTCCAGAACCCAGGCATGCTCTCCTTGGCTTTGGCATCACCAGGTTGGGAACAAGGCTGTGCCTGAGTTCCTTTACCTTATGGACTGGTCATTCTCACCTCACCACTCTCACATGTCCCCCACTTAAAACCTATGATAAGGTTTTCCCCATAGGAAGAAGCCCATCCCAGACCTCTGCTCTTTCCCCGCACCCTGGTCTCCAGGGACCCTCCCTGTGTTCCAGGTCCTGCAAATCTAACTGTACTCCTCGTGGACACTCCCTTTAGGAACTGGAGGAGGCTGTCTGGGGTAGAAGGACAGTTCCTGGCTGTCATTTCTTATCTCCCCTGCCCTATCTGCTCCTTAGAGGCATTTGCCATCAGCCTTGGGTGCTTCCTCACCATGTCTACCCTGTCCTTTCCTCCAAACACCTGGCAAAAGGAGAGTTAGGGTTATGAGCTTGGACGTACTGTTTATGAGAGGTAAGGTTGAAATCTCAGCTCTGCCACTCATTGGCTGTTACTGAACCTCTTTGGACCTCAGTTTCCTTAGCTGTGAAGTGGAGATAACAATAGGACCTTTGTCCCTGTTGTGAGAATTGCATTGCTACTGGCTGCATCATAGTACCTCAGTCAGTAGTACATTGTTAGCTTCATCTCTCTGTGTCTATCTGTCTCTTCTCAGGAAGGGTGCTGTCATCCTGGTTTCTTCCATTTCAGCTTATATGCCATATGTGGTAAGTGCTTGATCCCTGTGCTCAGTGCTTGATCCCTGTGCTCCTAGGTGATATTGGGGGAGGGACAACTTTGCTCTGTTTCTCAGAGCCATCACAGGGACAGTACCTGGGACAGACCACCACACTCCTGCTCTGGGCTGAACTTGTCCCCACGTGGCTGCTGGGTTCCTCCCATCCAGCCCCTGTTCTCAGATAAGGCTGAAGAGAGTACATCTGAGTCCTGGGCTTGGTTGGACAGGTGGGGTACCCTGTAGGTAAGAAATTCAACTGTTGCTTTCCTCCACTTCCCCAAATCCTAATCATTCTCTTGATTCCCTTCCCAGGAGCTAGGTGCATATAATGTCAGCAAGACAGCCCTACTGGGCCTCACCAGAACGCTGGCACTGGAGCTGGCCCCCAAAGACATCCGGGTGAACTGCCTGGTTCCAGGATTAATCAAGACAGACTTCAGCAAAGTGGTGAGGACTGGGGTATGGCTTCCATCTTCTTGCCCCATCCTGGCTCAGTGGGAACCCTCCCTAGTGACTAAGGGATAAAGGGGTGACTAAAGCCTCAGGTCAGCTGAGGTCCTCACTGTCCTCTGAACTCAGCCATGGTCCATCCATCCACCCTGAGAACGTGCTGCTTCTCCTGAAAAGGGCAAGCCTGCCCTGGGTGTCCCACCAGGCAGCCTCCCTGGGGCCCTGTCCATCTCCTTGTTTTAGCAGCACTGACTCGTTCAGCTCTTTCTTTTTCCCAGTTACATAAGAATGAGCCTTTCTGGAATGACTTCAAGGAAAGCCAGCGGCTGCACAGGCAAGCAGGGTTGGGAGCTTTGGGGGTTTGGGTATGGCTAGGCAGGGCCAGCTGAGTCTATCTCAAGAGCAGACCCTCTCCTTGTCTACTGGCCATTCCTTTTACTGAAGTCTGGAGTCCACATGGCCCCAGGGGGTGCAAGTACCCCTACTGAGCCCACCCTGTCCCCACATGGAGTTCGCTCTCACCTGTGGACCATGAGCCCCAGAGCAGCAGAATCAGAGTGCAGATGACTGACACCGTGTCCTTGTTCCATCCAGGATTGGGCAGCCTGAGGACTGTGCAGGACTCGTGTCCTTCCTGTGCTCTCCAGACGCCAGCTACATCACCGGGGAGAACATCGTGGTGGCTGGCTTCTCCCCTCGACTCTGAGGGGGATGGGTGGCTGTCCAGCTGTGGCTCTGGGCTCAGGAGCCTGAGGAGGGTGGCTAGGAGATCATTTGGATCTGGGGGCAGAGTCTTTAGCTCTGCTAGACTAGTGATTTGGGACTCACTTATGCTAGGCTTGAGGAAGAAGAAAAACCCTTCAGTATTCTCATCCTCAAAACTCATCTGCAAGAACTCCAGCTATGTGGAGTTCTTGATGGAGCTGAAGGATTTTATGGAGCTTTTGGAGTAGAGGTTCAGGCCCCTGAAGGATCCCAGCCCCTTCTCTCTGTAATTTGTGCTTTGAACATATTTTTTTCCTAAAATAAACTTGAATTTATCCTCAAGTCTGGAAGCATCTGGCAAGGGTGGAGCCAAGGGCAACATGGCTGCCTCTTTTGCTGCCCTGAGTCTGTTGCAAACCCACTGTGGTGGGGAGTGAGTGTGTGGCCTAAGTGTGGGCTTCGTGTGTGCTCTATTCTCTGAGCTGGGCCTGCTGCACAAGGCTGTGGTGGGAGGTGGTGGAAGGATTCTGGGGTTCTCTGGGAGGTTTACCAGGCTAGTACTTCTTAACATTTTCTGGACAGCACAGACCTTTGAGAACCTGAAGCAAAAATAGTCATATCAAAGCCTGTGCACAATTCTAAGTAGAAGAGAGTCATCAGAGATGAAGTTTCTCGTAAGGGTAGGCCAAGACATGGCTCCCTTGGAAAAGACCCGATTTATTGTTCTGAGTCGTATTTGGGGACACCATCCTTCTGTGTGTACGTGTCCAAGCTTAGCAGAGTCAAGGAGGAACAGGAGCCCTCGAGTCACCCACAGCTCCGAGCACACCTCTCCTGCCATCCATGAGTGTTGTCCTGAACTGGCCCAGAGGGAGGAGCCGAGACAAGGTTTCCAACCTGACCCATGGCCTTTATCTCATTAAAGCCCCTCATAAGGGCCTCCACTCCACACCTACCAGGAATGAGTCTTTGTGGTGAGACTATTTCAATTACTAAAGTATGTATTGCTTCCTACTACAAGCCAAGCACTGTGCCAAGCATCCTGGAGAACACAAGCATAAATAAGACCCAACCTCTCTCCAGTTCCTCCAGTGTGGTGGGAAAACAGCAAGTAGAACACTCACCAATAAATGAGACAGAATGTGTCTACTTATTTGATGCACATATGGAGTAGCACTCCATGGAAGGCACTGTTCTAGGAATTTAGGGTCCAACTTATTTGATGCACATATGGAGTAGCACTCCATGGAAGGCACTGTTCTAGGAATTTAGGGTCCAACAGTGAACAAAACAAAGATCGCTACTTTCCAGTGCTCACATTCTAGTGGGGAGAGTCTGTAATAAATAACAAACATATTAAAAATAATTATATAGTGTGTTAGTAGGTACAGAAGAAAGAAGATAAAGAGTGGGGTGGAGATTTAGGGGGTGGAGGTGGTGGCAAAGGTAGGCTTCACTGAGAAGCCAAGGGGTAAAGCCAGAGTAGGCACATGCATACGCAAAGCATCATGGGAATACAGAGGTCCATGGAGTCCAGTGAGGCTGGTGCAGGTGTCATTGGAGCTCAGATTTACTCAGTTAAACATAACAGCACACTGGGTTGCTGGAATGCTTTCTTTCAATGGGAAGGCTGGGATACGAACAGATGGAACTGATGTTAAATGTGAAGGATAAGCACACCTCTGGGCTCCTCCCTGCACAGGCAGAAACAGTAATGGACAAGTCCAGTGTCTGAAATTTTTTTTGCCCCTCCAGATCTACTTTCCACTCTTCTCAGCTCTGCACGTTGCCCAGGGTTGCTGACCTCTGTACTCCATCATGGAGGCTCCCTTACCCTCAGCTTTCACTAGGGAGCAGGAGAACGAGGGAGGCCAGACGTTTCTGACTTCCTTCCTGAAGGCAGTGGCTGTGTCTTCCTAAGCCCACAGTTCCTATGAGGCAACCTCCCAACCCTCAACTACCGACTAACTCCTTGCCCTGGCCCCGTCAGACTAGGAATCACTGCTGCGGGTTCCTGGCTGCTTCACTACCCTTTGCTAGTTCCTTTAATCCTGCCCACATATTTTTTCTTTATTCCATTCTCTGCAGTTATTCCTTTGAATGTGGCCTGATGGAAGCAACAGCCAGGTCAGAGTGAGGCAACCAAGATGGGTTTAACTGTTGATATATTTCCAACCACCCCAGGCCTGGCTGCCCTGGCCTTTTCCTTGGGTTCCCCTGGGCCTCCCCATGATTCAGTGGCCAAAGGATTAAGGGCTAGTATAACAAGGGTCCCAGATCTGCTTCCTGTGTGACCCAGGGCCTTACAGGTAGAGAAGATCTGCAAGCAGATTTCTGCAGGTGTCTGTGACATGCCTGAGATCCCCAGGTACTGCCTCTCTTCTCTTGGCCTTCTGCAGCCAGGCTCCCATTTCCTTTTAGAAAACCCATGGAAAGAAAGAAGACCAAGGTCACCTCGAGGTGAGTGGTGATTTCTCTTTACTCAAGAGCAGAGATAACATTTTATAGCTCCCCAGTGTCCTTGCTTCTGAACCTGTCTCTGGGTAATGGGAGGAGGAGGGCCTTCTGGCTGTGCAGTGCCTGACCCTGCCCACTACTCCTTCTCTTCCCACTAAGTTCTTTCTTCCCTCTTCTCTCATGGAATTGGGCCACCTGCAGCTGCTGTGCTGTCCCCCCCACCCCATTTTAGCCAGCTCTCCTTCTGTCTGGACATCTGTGTCATATCCAGACTATCCTCTCTGTAAAGGTGGGCACTACCATGTCGCAGCCTCGGGCTGCCCCACCTCTATGGACTGCTCAAGAAATACATTCTTACAAAAGCATATGTCTTAGCCTGGATTATCCAGAAAGCAGAGCTGGAGGTCAAGGCTTCTGTGGCTTCTAGAGGAAGGCAGGAACAGTCAGAGTTCAAATGTTATCTCCATTCCACAGCCTTGCTGGTGGAAGACTGGTGAGTGGCATTGTCACAGCTTAGAGTAAATCATTTGGTGGAGTCCTTGCCCTATTCTGCCACTGACTGGGCAGTAAAGTTGGGAGTCTCAGTTTCTGAGAAATAGAGGTCTCCCAGAATCCTTTCTGGCTGCAAGGTGTGTGAGTTTCACCTAATATTCAGTTCACAACTCTACTTCATGCAAAAAATGGGCACGAGCCCCTCCTATGGCAAACAGCCAGGGGAGTACCAGGGTCCAAGGAGGATTTGGACCAGCTGTGGGCTAGATCTGTACATTATACCATTCTCTACATCTTTGAGGATCCTTAATTTAGCACTCACTTACAAGTGAACATGCGGTGTTTGTTTTTCCATTCCTGCATTCATTCACTTAGGATAATGGTTCTGCAGTTCCATCCAAGTTGCTGCAAAAGGTGTTATCTCATTCTTTTTGACAGCTAAATAGTATTTCATAGTGTATATATGCCACATTTTCATTATCCACTGATCAGCTGAGGAGCATTTAGGTAGATTTCATGTCTTTGAAAATGTGAATTGTGCTGCAATTAACACACAGGTGCAGGTGCCTTTTTCATATAATGACTTCTATTTTTTTGAGTAGATACCTAGTAATGGCATTGCTGGATTGAATGGTAGATTTACTTTTAGTTCTTTGAGAAATCTCCATATTGATTTCCAGAGAGGTTATACTAATTTACACTCCTACCAAAAGTGTGCAAGTGTTTCTTTTTCTCTGCCTCCATGCCAGCATTTATTGTTTTATTTTATTTTTTAATAATGGCCATTCTGACTGGTGTAAAGTGGTATCTCATTGTGGTTTTGGTTTGCATATACCTGATGATTAGTGATGTTGAGCATTTTTATTCGTATGTTTGTTGGCCATTTGTCTATCTTCTTTTGAGAGGCATCTGTTCATGTAATTTCCCCACATTTTAATGGGGTTATTTGCTTTGTTCTTGCTGATTTGTTTGATTTCTCTGTAAGTTCTGGATATCAGTCCTTTGTCAGATGTATAGTTTACAAACATCTTCTCCCATTCTGTAGGCTGCCTATTTGCTCTGTCAATATTTGCTAGAGTAAATCGTCTGGTGGAGTCCTTGTCCCAGCCTGCCACTGACTGGGCAGTAAAGTTGGGAGTCTCAGTTTCTGAGAAATGGAGGTCTCCCCAAATCCTTTCTGACTGTAAGGTGTGTGGTCCTCACCTAATAATCAGTTCATAGCTCTACCTCATGGATGTGAGCCAGTCTTATGAGAGCTGGGGGCGTACCAGAGTCCAAGGGGACGGAAGATTTTTAGTTTAATTAAGTCTCTTTTATTTTTGTTTTTGTTGCATTTGCTTTTGGGGTTTTAGCCATAAATTCTTTGCCTGGGATGATGTCCAGAAGAGTTTTTCCTAGGATTTTTTTTATGGTATCAGGTCTGACGTTTAACTCCTTAATCCACCTTGAGTTAATTTTTGTATATGAGGAGAGAGAGGGATCAAGTTTCATTTTCCTCCATGTAGCTATCCAATTTTCCAAGCATCATTTTGTTGAACAGGTTGTCCTCCAAGTGTATGTTTTTGCCTGTTTTGTCAAAGATCAGTTGTCTGTAGGTATTTGTGATTATTTCTGGATTTTCTATTTCTTTCCATGGGTTCACATGTCTGCTTCAAGCAGGTGAATTTGTAGTGAAGCCAGGCAACACAGCTACATGGTTTTTCTAGCCAACCTCAGCAACTCTGGAGTGAGGGTGGAAAAAAATGGATAATGAGGTCCCCTGGGGTTGGGGCATATCCAGGTCACAGGTTCAGGGCCAGGGTGCCGCCTGAAGTGGCCTAATGGAGAGATCCTGGGGGAGGTGGTGGATCAAAATGCATCAGTGAACCAAGAGCATAAAGTCTCAGGACTGAGACTTTAGTCAGTGAGGGGTAGATTCTGGAGGCCTGGAAGAGCTAGAGAGGTAGGGAAAGATGTGGTGGAAAGTTGCAGCAGGCAGAGCAAGGCCAAGTTGCCAGGCCCAGATAATGACTTGCACAAAAATTCTACACAGCTTGGAACAGCCAGGGCTGGGAGTAGAGCCCCGCCACCCTGTCTCCAGTGCCATGATTTTCTCCTACACCTTTAGGGACCTAGTGCAGAGAAAGTAACCAGGCAAGATG